TCCCTTCAATTCGCTCTGTACTTTTCTGACCTGTCTAGGCTCTTTTGGTAGAGTTTGGAGTGTCCAAAACTTAGCTTTGCCCAGGGTGGACCTGCCTTAGCTCAACAGCATTGGCATCAAGTGGGTAGCATCTCAGGCCCATTCCCATCTACCGAGAAGGGCCTCCTGTGACTCATCCAGCTCTTCAGATGCTCTGTGTGCACTGAAGTCTGGGGCATGAAGCTGTATAGGGCCAGCTGTCTGCTTTCAGTTGGTAAAGATCCTACATCTTAGAGCCAAAGGTCAGGTTCTACAGATCAGAAGACCATTTCAATACTTTTAAGTCAAGAAGTCTGCTCTTCCTTCAAAACCAGAACTATATCAGTACATGAAGGTGATTGCTTCTCAAATGTAGTGGCCTAATTTGCAGTACAGAGAGGGTCCTGGCAGGTATAGCTTTATTGTGAATATTTTTATCAATATAATTTGATCCTCTTTATCTATTTGCAATTTTTTATATTCAGTTCTACTTTTCTGAAATTAAAGTTACTCCTATCTTTTAAAATTTTGTTTCCAGCATATTCAGTTTACAATATGTTTTGTTTGTTTGTTTGTTTGTTTTTTGAAACAGGGTCTCACCATATTGTTCAGACTAGCCTTGAACTCATTATGTAGCCTACACTGGCCTTGAACTTACAGCACTTTCTCAGTGTTGGATAGCATCCTCAGTAACCGCTGGCACAAAGGGAAAATGGATGTTATGGTCCTCAGACTATAGGTCTTTTACTCATACGACTGAGATGAAATAGTGCCCCAAATGCTCCACTGTCTGGAATTTTTGGAGGCAAAAAAGTCTTAGCCTCAGTTCTTTTTATTTCTCAGTAGTGGTTTTTCCCATCCAAATCTCTGAAGCATTTTTCTTTCTGTTATTTAAACTCAGAGGCAAAACGTGCCTCAATGTGGGCCATTTCTTTAGAATGCTGTGAGTTTCTTCTACCTCATACTGCGTATGAGTTCCCGTTTGTCTTAGGAAATCGTTCCTTACCTCTGTTATTGGTCTCTTTTCTTGTGTGACACTATCCCTTTAAACGTATATCTTTAGCTTCTGTTTGTGTCCTAGACTCTCTATTTTATCCTATTTTCTTACAAGTTTTATTTGTCTGTGGTTTTTGTTGTTATTATTGTTGTTCAGGTTGGCTTTGAACTCATTAGGTAGCCTATGTTGGCTCTGAAATAGCAATGATCCTCCTGCCTCAGCCTCCTAAGAGTTAGGATTATAATACTTCCATGACCTAACTTGATTTCTTTTTAAATATTCTTTTCTTTTCTAAGACAGTCTTAATATCAGGGCTACATTTACAAATTGATACTGTGAAGATGATTCGTGTCCATATTTTTGTGGAGACTAGTTCTCTCTGGCCCTTTTAGTTTCCCTTATCCTATTTGAAATTGGACTATTTTGCATTTGAGTACAGGCTTCTCTTAAGACTTTTGACTTCCCTTTCATGGTAGCTACCTCTTCTGGAATCCTGGGGATATCAAACAAGATTCTACAAGTTTTCTCTGGTTCCTACACTAAATGTCATTAAAGTACTGTTTTCTTCTGACTGTAAAAAGTATTTCTTACCCTATGTGTAGTCATTGTTTTCCATAGCACCCCAAGCCTGTACTGTTATCCTTGCTTCTATAAGAGGAAAGTTTCCCAGATTCAGTTTGCAGGTTGGGCTTCTTGTCTTTGCTCTCTTAATCACTATAATTAGTGTGAAATTTAATATTTAGGCCAGGTACAAATGCATTTGTTTTTTCCTAACTGGATAATCAAGTGTAAATCCATAATCCCTAGTCTGATAGAGGCTTTGCTTTTTTCATCCTTCCCTGCAGTGCTCTGCTGTTGGCTTTCAGTGCTCAGGGCTCCATATCCCCTTCGTAGCATGTTATACCAGTATATTATGGAGTTTCAGATCCGGAAAAATTAAGAACAGGGAAATTGGGGAAAGGGAGTAGTGGTAGTTGGCAAATAAAATAACACAAATGGAGTTCAGGTATCAGATGATCATTCTTTTGGGTTACTATCAACTTGTTTGGTTTTGTTTTGAGAGAAGGTCTTGCTATGTTGCCCAGACTGGTCTTGAACTGATGGACTCATATAATGCTCTTGCATCAGCCTTGTAAGTAATTGAGACTACAAGTGTTTGTCACCATGCCTGGCAAAGTTGGAGTCTGGAGTGCATGAGCAGCAGGAGAAGGAAATTATATTCTTATCCTTCTTCCTTTCTTGAAATCCTCTAACCACTGAATGCATCCTTTTCTCATTCCAGGAGTCAACTTTAAGATTTGTAGAAATCAATCCCTTGATTCTGAGAGCAGATGGGCAGCTAGACCCAGCTCTTGACCTTATAGTGGATCTATGTTTTTTGATTTGCCTTTGTAGGTATTAATCAGAACCGCTATCTGGTGATGGTGATGCTAATTTTGGCTCCTGGCTAAAATATAAATTATAATAACAGCATGATTTGAGAAAAAAATTTCAGCTTTTCCATTTTATGCCAATTCTGTGTATTAGCCTCTTCTAGATCAACTAGTCTCACTCCAGAATTCCACCTGGAAGATTTAGTTTATGCAGATAATGTTTTTCACACTGTGCTGGAACTATGCATAGTCTTGTATAGTTAACCAGCATTTCTTTTGAGAAAAGTTTGAATTCTACTGACATAGATTTAGAAAGGAGAAACAGAGTTACATTTAGGATTGGTATACAATAGTGATAAACTATTATGGCTACTTGAAACAAGTTATCAAATTTATATTTAATTTTTGCTGGGAAATCATGTTTACTGAGTAATTAATAATGCTTCATTCACCAGCAAATGACCTCCCATATGTCTGTACAATCAGTTTTTTCCTTGTAACACACCATTTTACTCTTAATTCGTTTATGTATTTTGAAATAGAGATCAAACAAAATTGAAAATAATTTCACCTTAACTTGTAGCTTTTTGTTTTTGTTATGTTTTAATTGTAAAAAATGTAACCAAAATGTTATTCTTTTTCTGCCCTAGGTGTCTTTATCAGGAGACATGGAATTTGTGGGTGACTCCTATAAGCCAGCAATCCTTACATGAGGAGTTTATTTTGAAGAAAAGGACAGACCTCTGGATACTGTTGCTATTCTGACAGGTGCAGGAGAAAAAGTACAGAGTTCCGCTGGAGACTGTTCTGTGCCTTTTTTGTTTATCAATGAACCTTGCATATCATCCTCAGAAATGTAGCATTTCAACTAGAATTTAATGTCTTTAAAAAGCATGACACATTCGAGAGAATAAATCACATTTGGAAAAGGTTTTAATATGGCCTAGCACTGGGTGCCCTTCCTAAAGCCTTTTAAAGATCACCCTTCACACAGCTGATGCGAGGGGAAAAGAAGCTGCGGTTTTGATAAGGTCTCCTTCTGAGGGCCACGTCTCTTGCCATATTAACTGCACATCAGGGAGCACTGTCCTTTTGTTTGGTTTCTCTGGGTCCTGGTAGAAATGTGGCCTGGTAAGCTATGATCTCTGTGGAGATCTCAGAGATATGAGAGCAAGTTTCAGAGCATATTCAGGATGAGCAGTCATCACAGTGCAGCTGCAAGCCTAGAATCCTAATGATGCTAATTCCAACCAACACAAAGACCACCAGTAAGATTAGGCAATTCAGATTCTGAGAAAGCTTCCCATGGTGAACTTTTTTATTCTCATTCTTGGTCAAACCATGCAGCAAGAACTCAGCTGAGACATTGAGGGTCTCCTCCTCCCCCAGTCAACTAGACTCTGAGGTGTTCTGTCAGTCCTCCAGGAAGCAGCTTGTCAGAGAGCAGAAAAACAGGCAGAGCCTGGAGAAGGGAAGAAATGCTTCTTCAGCCCTGGGCAGCCAGGACAATGGCCAAGAGTATAAACGCTGGGGATGGTTTCAGCTGAGGGGAAGGGGGACTTTATCTTAGTGTTTATACACACTGAGTCCTGCTTTTCTTGGTATTGGAATTGAATCCAGGTCCTTTTATTTTTTAGTTTGAGACAATGTCTCACTAAGACAATCCGTTGCCCAAGCTGCCCAATTTGTGACCCGCCTCCATCAGCCTCACTCTACCTTGCTGAATTTTAACTAGCAGGTAAAACAAGCTGTAGATGATACCCACTTGGCAGGGGAACAGGCAGTCCTGGACAGGCCACATCCAGGTGTGGTGCTGGGGAGGAGCCAGGTCTGGTCATTCGGGGTGAGGACAGCCTGTCTTCTGAGTATTTCCCAGTGGACATTAGGGGTACCCATCTATTGGGCCAATGATGAAGGCAGGAGGAAAGAAGACTAGACCAAGAACAACTAAAGGGCTTATCCTAGAGCTAGGGAGGTTCACGGGAAAGTCTGTGAGATGCTGTTGAAGGGGGCTGTCTTCTGACCAGCCTGAGGCTCTCAGGCCTCAGTCAACTTCCACAGGAAGGAAGCATTATCTCAGGTTATAAAGCCAGGGGCCATGTTTCCCCACAGTCCCTGCAGCATCCTGTTGTAGATTAAAAACTTCAGATTCTTAAAAAATTAATCTATTCTCTACTTCAGACTTTTTCTTTAAAATTATGAATCCTGCTACCTAACAGGCACTCTGCATATTTCTATTTCTATTATATTTCAAAAATTAGTGATGCCATTTAGAAAGAACTTGGAGGTTAGCAGCACTGTGCATACACAACGATATATCCTTCACCTCTGAATGTACAAGTTAGTGTCAATGTGGTTTCACTAGCATGAAGCAATTTAAACTAGTGCAAATCTTATATAATTCCATTTATTTATGTGGCTAAGCCATGGTGTAGTATGGGCGCTAGGGTATATTTTCAGAGATTTGCGTTGTCTAGCTCGTAAGTCAATTTATAAAATTCCTGCAAAACCTGGGGATCGCCCCAGTGTGTTGTGTTTTATTGCTTAATTAGCAAGTTGTCAAAAAGTGGCACCATATAAACTGAGTGATGCTGTTTCACCTGTTCACTTACTTTTTATTGGGATAATGAGCTGTGGAATGACAGGTAGAATCTTGTTCCCCCCGTGTTCCAGCATGTCGTGGATTCCTTGCCGAGCAAAAAACTCATAAGGAAATGTCATTTCACAAAGCCCATCAAAAAACAGAGGCAGATAATGATGGTAATCCAGCTTCTCAATTTCCACCTGGAAGCAGAGAGAAGAGAAATGCCATGTGAAAACAACAGCAGCAAAGCACAGCCCAACTAGTTAGAAACTCTGTCCCCAGCTCAGAGGAATGAGTCTCTGAGTGGGAATTTCTGAAAGGTTTAGCTACCAGTGCCACTACCCACCCAGAGCATGTCATTGTGCCTTTCATCTGGCAGCAAAGAGGCTAAAATTGATGACTTTTAAATGTTAACAGTCAGTCAAATATCTTATTCACATATAACCTGCATTGGTAGCATACTTATAATTTGTTTCTTTTTTGGTTTCTTTTACCCTTTGGTACAACAGTAACATTGAAAATGACTTTAAAAACCCATAATATGTATACTGAAAAGCTACATAAAAGAATACAATGAAAGGGAAAGAATCAGCTGAAAAGATCTGAGAGTTATAACAAGGGTGTAACAGGGAAGATATTATTATGTTCTTGTGAAGTACATTGATGTGAAGGATGATAAAAGTATATTAATGTGATTTTCCAGGCTATTTCAAACACTGATAACAAGGCTCAAACATGATTCTCTGGGGACTGGATGACAAGTAGAATGTTGGTACCATCAAAAAAAATGGAGAAGGCCAAGAGTGGGCTAAACATAAATGGACTCTCGGACTTAGCGGCATAAGGGCCTCCTTGGCAAACGTGAGTTCAGTCATGAATTCGATCCCTGGTACTAAAAAAAAAACAAAAATAAAAATACCAAAAAAACCATAAATGGACCCTGATGCCTCAGGTTCCCTGACTTGTCCAGAGGTCTGCAGTAGTAACCAGCACCATCAGACAATGGGAGCTAACTTCTGGAGCTGAGGTAACAAATATGAGTTGGAAATTATGCACATGCAGGAGATTTGTTCTTGGAGACCCTACATTATCTAGAATGCCTTGGACTGACCAAACACCAGCCGGGTGACAGATGATGGTGACATTATAGATGGAAAGAGGACCTTGGATTCAGATTGCAATTATAATACATCTACACGGGGGCAGGGATGCTGCATTCCCAGGAAGAGAAATATCCCTGGTTTTGGGGACTTTATGAACGTACTCAGCTTCCAGTGATCACCTTCTAATTAAGTAAGGAACCAATCAAGACCTTTGAGAAACTCCCTGTCTGTGTGGCAAAAGCTTTTACATCTTCCTTCTCTTGCTCAGCCATCTAGAGTCGCCAGACACATACCCACTGGCTGTGGCAATATGCTCAGCAAAGTCTTGAGTTTTTTTTGTGAGTATAGGTAGATTAAATGTCCTATAGGTCCCCAAGCTGGAAGCCTGTTGACAATGTGCTCATGAACTCCCCCTCTACAATGCACATCCAGACACAGGATAGACATGAAGAAGGAGCCCAGATAGTCAAGGGTGCAAGCAGGCAGGAGCTGACATCACATCCTCTTGCTGAACTGGACCTCAGAAAATGAGTTCTAAACATAGCAATATACAGATCTCAATTTTACCTTAGCTCCTTCTAGATTTTTAAAACTAATTTTATTCAGTAAAGGCTTGTGGAATATTTACTTAATATTTAATTTTCTCAAGAACTTTTCTGAATTTCAAAATGTCTTAGAACATTATTTTGTATGCTTTGAAAAATTTATCGCTACATCATTCAGCTACTAATGTAGTGTTGTTATCTATAATTTTACCTTGTAACCCAACTTCATAATAAAAGTGTCATCTGCACTATAATTTTACTTAACGTTTTAGATATATTTTGCTCATTCTTTTTCTTTTAGTCTATTGTCGCACTTTTACATGTATCTCATAATTAGCAAAGCACTAAATTTTGTTCTTTAATATGATCTAAAACTCTATTTTAATACATTAATTTAAGTCATTTACATTTAGGCTATGCCTGGTTAACTTCTGTCACGTTATTTTATGGTTGCCAGTTGTTTTTCATTTACTTTTTCCTTTCTGTGATGCAGTTTTGTCATGTAGATTATACACATTTTTTTGCAATAACTTTAAAGACAGCCTATTTAAATATTTTATTGTGGCTACCTTATATTCTCTCCAGCATTCGTCATACTTATCTATCTTGCTGAGAGAAGTGAATTAAATATCTCCTAATAAGATTGTTGCTATGTCAATTTTTCTTGGAACTCATCTATTTTCTTAATCTTAGAGTTCAGGGCAACAATACTAACAATAGCAACAATAGTAATGCCAATAAGCATAATACCAGACACTATAATTTCTTTTTTTTTTTTTTTAGAGCACAATTTTTTTTTTATTTAAGGAGAAAAAGAAAAAAAGACAGAAAAAGGGTACAAGTTATACAGAATTTCAGAAAAAATAAACAATAGGAAATCACTAGTTAATAGATTACATATTGTTATCTTAGAAATAGTTGTTCAAGTTACAAAATTAAAGCATATAAAGTGGACTTTCAAACAGTGCAGACACTACAATTCCTATACCAGTGCATTTAATCCCACAACACCTCTGAGACATTAGTATCCTATTTTACAATAAATATAAAGTCGGTCACAAAACAGTTCAATAACTTGCCTAAGGTATGCAGCTCGTTGGGAGCCTGGATTCTAGCCCAGGCTCCTAAACTGAATGGTGGCTGCCTGACGTGGTATTGCCCCTCATCAGCCCTTGTCTCAGCATCCCGAGATCACCGTGACTGTAACATCCTGGTGAATTGTACCATTTATCCTTATGTCCCTATACTGCTTATCATTTCTAATGCAGTGTGTCTTAAGCTAGTCAAGACACTAATACTAGTATTTGCCTATCACATTTTTTATCATTTTACTTTTATCCTTCTTCTAACATGATAGTTTGAATGTCTCTCCTGTGTAGTTCCCCCCTTCCATTTTATAATGCACATTTAAATAACAAACACATAGCATCCACATGATTCCTATTCTCAAGTTTTGAAATAGAAAATACAGCCATGAGAGAAGAGCAAAAACAGCAGCTGAAAGACATCAGCTGAAGGAAAGACTGAGAGACTGAGAAAGAAACAATTATCCCCATGCCTTTGATCTCCTGTTTCACTAACCACAGTGATTCCTTCCTACCAGAACTTCTCATGAGCTCTCGTGACTCGCTTTTCAATTATTTATCGTATCTGCTATCATTTCATAATTGTTGTTTTAATAACTGAATAACAACTTGCCAATGTTGCAATTTCTTATTTTATTTTATTTTATTTTATTAGTACATGTTTGTCATTCATGCAATTTACAATCATCTTGAGGAGCAGTTACACATACACCGTACAGTTTTTTTTCAATTGCCTTCTTCTTCCACTCTCCCCCCTCTTCCTCTGGTTCCCCAACCACCGGTTTCATACCTGTTGATACTGCTTCATTAGTGCATGCTATGGTTTATACTGTCTGCGTTGATTGGGTACATTAAGTTCCTATACATGGCATGCATTTATTCCTTACTTTTCCTCTTCCTTTTCCCCTTCCCTTCTCCTTGTTGGGACATTTCTCTATTGGTTGAGACATTTTCCCTTCTGCCCTTTTACTCATTTTTTATTGTTCTCTTGGTTTGTACCTTGTCTCACTCACATGAGAGGTACCATACGATATTCAAGCTTGTGTGTCTGATGTGTATCACTCAACATTATGTTTTCCACGTGCATTCATTTTCCTACAAATGCCTTAACTTTGCCATTCATTATGTATTCCATTATATAAAGATACTATGTTTTCCTTATCCAATCATTTTTTGATGGGTATACAGGCCACTTTGAGGATTTAGCCATCATGAATTTTGCACTAGTATGCAAGTATTGCTGTAACATGATGACTTAAACTAACAGGAAGATTGTGGGTTGTACAGAATTTCTAATTTCCATCCTTTAAGAAATCTCCACACTGATTTCCATAATGGTCAGACTGGTTTGCATTCCCATCAACAATGCAGAAGAGTTCCTTTTTCTCCAGAGCCATGCCAGCATTTGTTATTGTTTGACTGATCACAATGTCTTTAAGTACTGTAGATAATGTTCTATTTGCAATAGAGTGATTTTGTGTACGAATTTCTTTCTGCTTGTATATATCCTCCAGAATTTCTTCTTATCCTTATAATATTGTCTTCAATAGATCCATTGGCCTAGGCCTTGATAAGCCATGTTAGATTCCATTTATCATAGGATCTGTGTGTGTGTGTGTGTGTGTGTGTGTGTGTGTGTGTGTAATGTAACTGACTTCACTGTATTTTTCATTTTCCTTTCTGAAAAGTTTCTTCCAGTTACTGGTCCATTTTCACAATAAACTTTTTCAGAAACATTCCCTTCCCTTTTCTTTCTTTTCCCTTCCTTCCCTCCTCCCCTCTCTCTTCCTCTCTCATTCCCTCTGTAGCAGGGATTAATCCCAAGGCCTTTTCACTGACCTACATCCCCAAGCTTGTTACTGTTGCATTTGAGGGAGGGTGTCTCCCTAAGTTGCTCTGTTGCCCTGGTTAGGCAGCAGTTCTCTTCCCCAGCTTCACAGTTGGAATTACAGGCCTGGAATACCATATTAAGTTCCTTCTTTTTACAAGAACATCAGTTCTTTATGAACTCATATCCCCTTTATTACTTTGAGGGAAGCCCCATCTCCAAATAGGTACTTCAGGCATTGGAGTTTATGCCAGTTAATCTTTACTGACAGCTTGACTGGTTAGTGAATTAACCCAGTGGCAGTCATAGGTGAATGTCCTGTGAATAGGTGAGGACCAACTGGAGGTGGGTCACTAGGGATTTGCCTGTGTAGGGTACGTGGGGACTCTTCCTCTGTGCTTTGTTTTCCAGTGGCCGTTAAGTAAGCAGCTTTGTCTCACCACACCTTTCCACCATGGTGTTGCTGCCTTGGTGCCATGGATGGAAGCCTCTGAAACTCTCAGCCAAAGTAAACTTCTCCACCTCTAAATTGTAGTGTTAGATAGTTTGCTTCAGCAATGCTCCAACTAGGCAATACGGCATTTCCACATAGTGATTTTAGGGATACAGTTTACAGCACACCATTCTCTCCTCCACATT